TCTCTTCTCACACTTATGCCATCTTTGGTCTTTGTTGAAACGTTCAACAATGTCCCAATAATAGCATCACAAACGTTCTTTTCGATATGCATCACATCAAGACAATGTCTAACTGGTAAGTGCTGCCAATAAGGAAGTTCCCAGAATATGGACTTTTTTTTCCATAGAGCAGCACTTTCTTTCTTTTTTTTGTCACTTTTACCATAAGTATGCACAATGCCCTTAGTACGCTCATAGACTTCCCTTCCCGTCAGGGGTGTAGGAGCAGATCTCAACTCAACATCTCCATCAAATGGCTTTTTCTTTTTGCGGTAAGGATGATATCTAGGAAGGAATCTCCTAGTCCTCATGTACACATATTTTCCCCAATGAGGTAGGTATGTGGAATCCATATCTTCATCACAAATGGGACATGGTTTTTTCCCTTTCACTTTATAGCCAGACAAATCACCATATGCTGGGTAGTCATTAATAGTGCAAAACAGCATTGCCCGCAATGTGAAGTACTCATTAACATGTGCATCAAAGACCGAAACTCCTTCATTCCACATCGTTTTTAAATCATCAATGAGAGGAGCAAGGTAGACATCTATGTCATTCCCGGGCTGTTTCGGTCCTGATATGAGAAGCGAAAGCAATATAAATTTGCGCTTCATACACAACCAAGGTGGCAAGTTGTATATGACCAAAAGAATCGGCCATGTACTGTGTTGGCTACTAAAACTCCCAAATGGATTCATGCCATCTGTACATAGTGCCAGCCTTAGATTCCGTACTTCCTTTCCAAATTCTGGAAATGATTGATTAATAGTCTTCCATTGAGGAGAATCTGCTGGATGTCTGAGCATCCCATCTTTCTTTCGCTGCTCTTCGTGCCACCTCAAATATTTGGCGATTGTCTTAAGGGAGAAAAGACGTTTAAACCTCGGAATTATTGGAAGGTACCACATGACCTTTGCTGGTGGACCCTTTTTACCGTTGTTCGACTCACCATCACGCTTGTATTGAGACATATTGCATCGTGGACACTTATCCAACATTTGATGTTCATTTCGATACAACACGCAATCATTTGGACATGCATCAAACTTTAGGTACTCTAAACCCAACGGACACAATAGTTTCTTTGCATAATAATTTGACGTGGGCATTTCATTTCCATCAGGAAGCATGTCGTGTAACACTTCCAATAGAGATGTGAAACTAGTGTCACTCCAATTATTCTTTGCTTTCACATTGTGAAGTGTTAGCACAGCAGATAACTTGGTGTACTTTGTACACCCAGGATATAGTGGCTTTTCTGCAGCTTGTGATAAACTTTCAAAGATCTTTGGTCTTTCATCATAGTGATCTTTGACTCCACCTATCATTTCATCTATTACATCTGCTTGGTCATCCTCTACTTCATCTTCATCTTCAGTTTCTGTGTCCCCATTATCACACTCAAAATAAGAGGAAGGCATTGTTTGATCAATATTAGGCATCTCATTCGCATCAGTTGCATCTTCTTTATATACCCCTTTCTCACCGTGCCACACCCATACATAGTATTGTTGTCTGAATCCGCGACGAATTAAATGCTCTCTGATTGTCTCTATTTTGGAAAATGAAGTCACATTTCCACAATCGACGCACGGACAATAGCATTCATCAGATCCTGTCAACACGCGATGCTCTAACGCACGTTCACAAAATTCAGCAACCCCTTTCATGAACTCTAGGGTGTTCCGTTTACCGTACATCCACCTTCGGCTCATCTTTATATTCAAAACATGTATAATATTTAAAAACTCATATTAGTATTTTAGATAGGAAAATTTTAGAAGAATTTTATTTTAACTTCAAAAAATTTCATAGAAAAAATAAATTAAGTTCATAAATTATATACATTATCAGAAATAGGAACACAAACCGGAGAACATTAAGAGAAGAAAAAAAAGGATGATCCATTCAAGAAGAAACTTTCTTAATCTAAATCACCGCATAAGATTCTATCATGTCGTCCAAAAAGTTAAATCTTTTAACTTCTACTACGATTAAGTACTAACAGATCGTTCCACCTTTACTAACAGCAAAACCACCTCATAATATAAAACAAATGCCATTTTAAAATAGAAAAAGAATGGAACTACACTATATTCCGTAACAAGCAACTCAATTTTCTCATTCTTAGAATACATATCATAATAGTTTTGTATGATAACACATAATATTAAAAAATAATGAATAAAATATGCTAAATATACAAAGTGTTACCAAAACCCACTTTCAAATATGACCATTAAGCTTTTCATTTACTTGTTTGGGTTTTTAGGATTAAGGGGCAAAGAATTCGTATTCGTTTTAGAAACATTAATCACCATCTCTGTATAGCATGTTAAATAACTACAAATCAAATACCACAAAAGATAAATCTCACTGTCCTGTAAGTCAAAATTGTTGACAAGCAAGAATACATGAAACGTTGAGATATTCTTGATTCCTTTTATACAGTACATATTCAAAAAGCATCACTGCGTACTCTGTATATTGGTCTAGCTAAATTTGAAATCAAATAGACTAAAAGATTACCATGTTCTATTCTATAACAAATATACTCCAATCGTCCCACGCTAACAAAAATATGGATTTATAAAAAATATTAAAAGATTAAGTTAATAATAACTAACCTTGACAAAAAGATAACAATAAGTGTAGAGAGGATGAAGTTGGCGGCACAATCTGACTGTGGCAGCGGTGTGGGGAACGGACCTGCTTCGGTAAGTTGCTGCAGCAGCGCGAGGTGCTCCGGTGCATCAGCGAGTTGCTCCGATTCTGTCGTCCAGCTACTCCGGTGCCGTCGGCGAGCTGCTGCGAAGCCGTCAGCAAGCGTTAGGCGCTGGTTCGGCTGGAACAATCGGGAGGGGACTGGGATTTGGAAGGGTTAGGTTTATCTGAAAATTTTCAAGTTTTTAGAGAATAGGGGAAAGAGGGAAGGGAGGAAAAGATCCGAAATTTTCAATTCTTAATAGCCTATGTGCTGCGGTTGTGTCTAAGACCGAAGCTAATAGCGCTAAAATGTAACGTATTTGCTGCGGTGTCAATACAGCGCAGCAATTAGGTAAAAAAATAAAATAAAATTCGAAATAAATTAGTTATTTGCTGCGGGTTCTAAACAACCGCAGTAAATAAGTCGAAATTCTCACCTTTTTGCTGCGGTCTCTAAGGAACCGCAGCAAATACTTACAAATTTTACGTATTTGCTGCGTTTTTACTAGGAACCGCAGCAAATAGGTAGCAGCAAATAGAGAAAATTCTAGTAGTGCTTTCTTCTTCTCCCTCCTTCTTAATTAGCTTATAAGATTCCATTAATGGGAGCTCAAAATGTACGATGTAATGGTGATGAGAGCCTAATGAGAATGAGAGGGCTTGGACATTAGCCTAAAAAGTCCCGTGGTTTTCTCCCTTTCGGGTTTCCACGTAAAAACTGAGCTTGTTCATACACATTTATACATATATTTACTATATCGTGTTGGATTAAACTCAACAGACAGAAATTTCAAGAATTAACATCAGCAACCCATAACAATGAAGCAAAATAATCATACATTAAAGATCATACTAAAATCTTTGCTTTCAACATAACAAGATACATAAAAGTATAGAAAAGGAAAAAAAGTAAAATCATAAAACCAAAAAAAATTGAAATTAATTATTACCTCAACACTCAAAGTGTTGAGACTAAAATGGTTGGATTATGTGTGAAGGAAGAGAGTCTCATATTTTTTGTGAGTTGATAATTGATGGTGAATTGAAAAAGAAGAAAAAAGGGGAAGAAAGAAAGACCGTAGAAGAAGGGAGGGGGGAGAGGGGAGTGAGGAGAGAGGAAAGGGAAGTGGGGGAAGAGGTAAAAAAGGTGGAAGGAGGTAATTTTATTTGGGAGTATATATAGAGCCCGTTTGGTAGCACGAAATCGGCGGATTTGGCTGATTTTGCTGAAATTTATGAAGTTCTGGTTGAAGTGGATGCATTGGCTGATTCTGTTGATTTAAGAAAAAAGTATTTTAAAAATATATTTTATTAATAAAATAAAGAAAAAATTACGGAGTATATGTAAAAATAGCTAAAATGATCGTCTACAATAACTTCAGTCAATACAGCCAGAAAGTAATTTCAACCTTACTTTTTCTGCTTATCACACAATTCAGCGCGTGAAAGCAAAAATGACATGTTTGATAAAAAAAATTGACTGATAAGTCTGATAAGCCGAAAAACAGTATTGACAAACGAACTGGTATAAAATGTGTACTAATGTTCGATCAAAAAGAAAAGATTAGGCCTGGGACCGGTTCGGTTCCTAGGCAAAATATGTGGAACCGTTTGAAAATATGAAATTTTACTAACGGTTCGGTTCTTATAAATTATTTTATAGAACCGATAAGGAACCGAACCGTTCTTAACGGTTCGGTTCTTGTCATTTAACGGTTCCTAGTCTTTGAAAAAATTCTTACAAATTACAACTAAATTTTTGGCAAAAAGACATTCAACGTTAGAAATTACAATATAAATATGTTGAACCAGTTAAAGAGAATAATAATTTTAAATAGTTTGGACCTTCCGAGTTCCGACCCGCTGGAGTTTGGACCTAATGAGAGGCCTAAGAAGCCTAAGAGAACCGGTTGAAGTGAATAATAGTTTTAAATAGTTAAATAACAAAACTAAAACAATGAATGTAATATAAAAATAAGTAAGTAAATATGCATTAAAATATATATACTCCTAAGAATATGTATATAATTTTAATTATTACATATAACGGTTCCTTAACGGTTCTTGGTACATATTTTTTTCAGGAACCGAGAACCGAACCGTTAATAAAAAATAGGAACCGAACCGTTAACAAATAACTAATAAATGTTGGAACCGAACCGAGTCATAACGGTTCGGTCCGATTCGGTTCTCCGGTTCTTGGTTCCAAAGTACCAGCCCTAGAAAAGATGTGTACTAATGTGTGTAGGAATAGACAAATTGTTATTATTATCCCTAACATCTAAATACAAACACGTTGTATCTCAGCCCTAACCGCAAGATAGACATTTTCTCAATACGACTCTGTCTTGCTCTCTTTTTCTAGGTTCCACGTTCACTCTGAATCTGAGGTATGGCGAATTGTTGGAGGAACTCATTGTTAGCTCCTCTCTCTTTCTTCTTCTTCTACTTCTTGGTATCGTCGACCACCTTCGCCAGTTCCGATGGCCCCTTCATCATCGCCCACAAGAAGGCAGCCTCTACTAAGCTGAAATCCGGCACTGAACGGGTCTCCGTCACTATTGATATCTATAATCAGGGATCTGCGTATGTTTTCATTCAAATTTCACTTCACTCGCATCTTCCTTTCCAGATCTGTGTATCTGTCCTATTTTCCTCTCTCCACAAGCTTCTTCAATTGTCTGTGTGCGTAGTGGTTATGTGTGAGCTGATATTTCCATGGAAAAATTCCTGAAATGGGACCAAAAACATCTTTAAATTCCAAAATAGGACCAAAATAAGAGTAATTACCCTCAAGTCTGGAAAATACTGCCATGTTGACATGTTAACGTTTAAAGTATGGTACTGCCGAAACATGACAACAGTAATTAGTCCCATTTGAGGAATTAAAAACATGTCAGTCCCATTTTGGAATTTAGAAACGTTTTTATAACATTTATAACAATTCTTTGTTTTTGAGGATATCGTAGAATACAATTTACTCGCTGAATTATTAACTTCCCCCGCCTCCCTAATTGCCTTTGGAATTCTTCCAATTTAGGTTCGTGAATTAAGAATCTGTGAAGTCATTTTTCCGTTTCAGGATTCACATTGAATTCGCATGCAGTTGCTACTGTTCTACAAGCTTTGTCTGTTTCCATTTGCTGTCTCTTGGTTTTATACAGAGTTATTAAATTTATTATAAGTAAGGATTTTCGTTGGGTTTCGTGATTCATTAATTGTATGTAGTTTATGTGTTATCTTCAGCTTAACCTGTTGCAGGTTGTAATTGGATTTGACACCATCCAAATATCCTATGATACTATAGAAGCTAGTAGAAAAACTTCTACCATCACATTTGATACCTTTCATCTTGTTTAATGATGTCTATCTGTAATGTCCTCAATAATTGTCAATATCCATTTAAAAATGGGTTTATGTGAAAATCCAAGCCAATACATGTTTCTTGTCTCATGATCCATTATCAATAATTGTCAATATCCATATAAACTGGATAAGCATATTGAGAATTGTGTTATAGTATTTACGCTATTATCATACTTTTCTGTAAAGTAATCTGGGAAAGTAATCATCTTGTTGGTAACGCACTTCTATAGTTCATCCTAAATATGGAATAGTTTATGCTTTTCAGGACTGCTTATGATTTGAGTCTTAATGATGGTAGCTGGCCCAAAGATGCATTTGACATTATTGATGGTAACACTTCTATGTCATGGGAACGTCTTGATGTGTGAGTTATAGTTTATTGGCCTGCCTATACACTTCCTTTTTTATAAGCTGACCCCCATGTTTTTGGATACACCTCTTTCTTTCTCATGTTTATTTAATGATTTCAGAGGTGGTTCCCTATCACATTCTTTTGAGTTGGAGGCCAAATCTAAAAAACTTTTTTATGGTGCTCCAACAATCATAACATTTCGCATCCCCACTAGGGCTGCTCTGCAGGTTTGAAATGTCATATATCATTCTAGTTTGATAGTTGAGTTCACGGTCAATGCTCTTCAATTTTACGTGTATTTTATGTAGGAGGCGTACTCTACCCCAATAATGCCTCTTGACTTGCTAGCAGAGAGCCCCCCTGAAAAGAAATTTGACTTGGTAAGTGTGATGCTTGTTCTAGTTGCATATATCAATTCTGGTTATCTTATATATGGTATGTTGATTTACTAGAAACATTACTTAATTTCTTATTATTTTGTTGCATGGGATTGTCTTATTTGATGTCTTATCACTTGTCAGGCAAAGGTATGTTTTTATTTCTATTTTCTGCGTTAGTTTTACCATAATTATCACCCCAATCATCGTCATCGTCATAATGAATATTGTGGTAAAATATATGGAAATTGTGGGATATGTTACAAAGTCCAAGAGAACATTAATTTTTATTTTGGGCAATGGAAACTTCATGTCTTCATAGTTCATATCCTTTTTGGCTTACTAGACATCATATGTAGCTTCATGTGGTATCAAGCAAGGTAGTCTAAAGCAAGCACCTGGGCGCTTAAGCACACCAGGCGCAGCGCACATGAGGCTCAACAAGTGAACAACGGCCAGACGCAACTCCCCGTCTGAGGCGCAGTTTAGGCGCAGAAGTGTAGACGCTGAGAAAAGTGCAGACTTAAGTCGCCTGTGCTGGGAAAGGCTTATCAGCCTATGTTTTGTTTGATCCTACTTTAAATAATAAGCCCATACTTATAATAAGATGTAGCCCATCCAAACAACAGGTAAAAACAACTTAAACCCATATTAAACCCTTCTTAGTTCTTAGTCGTGGGAAAAGTCTTCTATCTTCACTTAATCGTTACTTTCCTATGCTGCTATGTGCTCTACTTGAGCAACATGCTCAACGCTGAAACCATTCAACGATCAACCCACATAAGTCAGAAACCCATTCTTTTTGAGCAACCCATAACCTTTCTTTTTGAGCTTGTAGTTTTCATTTATTTTGTCATCTTCTTGGTGATCCTTTTCATTTTATTCTTTCATTCTATCTTCATTGTTTACTTTTATCCGTTCCAGTCATCTATGCATTATATGTACTCTATATGATTTCATCTTATTTTATAGTATATAATTCTATATGTTCCTATTATCATTTCATATTTTAACTGTATAAAAACTTCATATAATCTAACTCAATTAATAGTTTCATACACTTGTTTATGCTACTCCTAGTGCTGAAATTGCAAACTCAACAAAGACAAACCCCACTTGGTGTTTTGTTTTTGTGAACCATGAGTTTATTTTGGTGAATCTTGACTTTGTTTTTGAGAAACATGACCTTTTGTTGCATTTAGTTCAATTTGATGTTGCATATGTCATATTTGATCACTCTAGAATAATATAAATAATATTTTCTAAATAATGTGCTTGATCCGAGTCAGGCGAACGTTTTTAAGTTTAGCGCCTTAAGTGCGCCTCACGACTTTGACTACTGTGGTATCAAGTTAATCTATAATCAGAGTTATAAGTCTGAATAGTAACTCCAAGATTTAGAGGCCGTTTGGTAGCACAAAAATTGGTTGAATCGGCTGATTCTGTTGAAATTTATGAAGTGCTGACTGAAGTGGCTGGATTGGCTGATTCTGCTGATGTATGAAAAAATTATATTTAAAATATTCTTTATTAATAAAATAAAGAAATACGTATATGAAAATAGCTAAAATCACCCTCTACAGTAACTTCAGCCAATACAACCAGAAAAGTAACCCCAATCTTACTTTTTCTTATTATTACACATTTCATCGCGCGAAATCAAAAGTTACGTTTTTGGTGAAAAAGTTTGTTCATGAGCTTGATAAGCTGAAAAACAAGGTCACCAAACGGGCTCTTAAAGATCTTTACCAATCCTTTGATTAAACATTTGAATTTTACCAAAAACTTAAACATAAGTTTTTTCATATCGGCTTAACTTTAATATTTGGAGATGCCTATATTAACAAATTATTTAATGAAATCAATTTATGAAGCATGAAAGTAGGAAACAAGAAAAACAACATTTTTACGGTAGGTTACATTAATGTGTGAAAACTTGCGAAAATAGAAAATAGTGCATTACTGGGGTGTAGTTCACTTGGTAGGAGGAGGCTCTCACAAGGGAGAGGTCTCGGGTTCAACTCCAACCAATGACTTGGGATGGAGCCTCACTCTCTTTCCATCAGAGTGAGATCAAAGATCTTTACATCCTTTAGATAGTTGTCAGGTCAGTTCCAGCCCCCCAGGGTGTCATCCTTTCTTTCTCAATAATGAATGTTCACATTGTCCACATTTCTGGTCATCATCATTCAGGAACATGTAAACGAGGGAATTATATCTGAAATGTGCAAATACTTTCGTTTAAGTGTTTAGACATCGTCTTAGTAATGGGTTATATTGCCCTGCCCATCTGGTCTGACTCAGATGACCGGGTGCAACCTCTAACATAGTGGCCGAAGAAGCTTGTTGTGTTCTCTGGATCATGCCCTGAATATGGTACCGTTCCCATTTTTGGGTTTCCACGTACCTACCATTGTCTCATCTTAACTCCTGATCCAGCGCAGTCCCGTCCTGTTGGTGAATCAGACCTCTGTAATTAGTCCACCAAATCTGTTTGTGTTATTAATACTCCCTTCGCCCGTTGTCGTCCGTTATAACTTCTGCACATATCTCAACCGTACTTTATTATTTCCCGTGCCAGTCAAACATGTCAAAGTATTGAGGGACATAGGGAGTATTATAATATAATTCTTTTTTAAAATTAACAGCCCAATAATTTTGATTTGACTCTTCAAAAAGTTTACGGTACAGTGCCCTATATTTCCCTTTTAATTTAAAAATGAAAGAACAATGTTCATAACATTAGTTGCAAATTGGGTAGCCATCATGTGGTTACCGTTACTTCCTTTAACTTACAGAGAAGCAATGATCCTTTTATGTAAGGACTATAATCGATGTTACATGCATGATGGATGGTCTCCAATTGGGAATAAGGATGGGTTCTCTTTGACTGAACAAAGTGATCTGATCTGGATTTTTTAAAGATCTGATCGGGTGTTGTGGACTTGTGGTCTGGTCTCACACTCTCAAACTCTCACCTGAACTAATTGGAAATTGGAATAAGAAGTAAAAAAAAAGGTGAAAAGGACCAACACATAACTGATGTAAGAACTTTGCAACTCTTGTTTCATCAGTTAATAACTTAATATGATGGTTTTTTTTGTGTAGAGAGTTTTGGCAAAATATGGGTCGTTGGCTTCTGTGATCTCCATTGTAGTTGTGTTTGTATACCTCGTGGCAACACCATCAAAATCCAGCGCTGCAAAGAAGAAACGCTAAATAATATATTGAATGATTGGTCCGATGGAAAGTCACTCAACACTCAGAAATTGCGTTTCCTGAATGGATTGAATATTCTGTTTTATTGTCTTTTGAGTTAGATAGCGAGTCCGTATTTTTCATCCGTTAAAAGTTGTACTTTCTACCTATTGCAGAACAATTGAAGTTGCAAGACTTTGTTTGCATCATACATTCATAGCAACCCACTCCTAATAATACACAACCTTCCGAAAATTACATTTTTGGCAGTCGCGTCTGAACTCTGAAGTGCACATACGAATTGTTCTGGGGCTGCTTCCCTGTTTTTTAAATTTATTAAGGAAATGTTTACATCAATGATCCCAGTATCCCACTTATTTATTAAGATGGATGGCCCCACACGAAGTACTGTCTCCTATTATAAATTTATTATAATTATCATTGTATATTCCCAAAATAGCACTCAATTTACTCCTATTTTAGGAAGTTTTAATCAATTAATTTTTTACGGAGTAATAGGAAAAATGTACAAACATACCCTTGTAGTATGAGTGTGAGAATAAATACATCTTTCTATTTTTTGGAACAAATATACCTTAGAAATTTATGGGGAACACGGGAAGTGCATATATACTTTGCACTTTTTAAAGGTGCAAAAATACCTCTCATGTTCCTATAAAGAAATGTGATGGAGTTTAATCCAAATACGAGACCTATATCTACGAGAGTAGATGAATTTAGGTAGCGTAAGATAGTATTCTTATTCTGGAATTCAGATCCTTGGTAGGATATGTACATGAAGTATTTATTGACCTTAGGTTCTAGTATTCTAGAAGAAAATTGATATATTAAATGCTATTAATTGAGATAGAGTCTTGTAATGTCTCGAACGTTGTGCAATGATTGTTTCCCTCAGGTTCACGTTCCTTCCGTTATTTCCTGCCGCTGTCAGATAGCTATGCACGAATCATAATCTACCACATAAGCACTAGGAAGAGTCTGACCTCGCTAGAATTCCGCCCATGCTCGAGGTCTGCTGTCCAGCCTGGCCTGGTAGTGGGTTCCTTTTGCGGGTTGGATTCCTAATTAGGCCAAGCGGCTATTTATTACTACCCCCGTCCCGCTATGATTGTCTCATTTTACCATTTCGGTCCGTCACACTAAGATTGTCCCACACCTTATTTGGTAAAGTTTGTGTGGCTCTAAATCATTCTTACTTTATTCTTACTTTATCAATTCAATATCAAGCACATAAATCACTTTTTATAAATTTTAGTGCCACTCCCTCTTGTCCCATTGTTAGTGGGACGGAGGGAGTATTAATCCCAATTAGTGGGCTCGTGGTATGGGCTGATCCTGTTGATGAGCTTTATCTTAATTCAGTCTTGTGCCATGGTTGTAATCCATGGTACCATCACGAGCCCCCGTACTCTATAAAATCAGTTGGGCTCTATTTTAGGAGAGTAGAAGATTTCGAATTTTGAATTTCCATTTGTAGCGCCATTCAGCATTGAATGCAGTTTCTTAAGCGGTACACGTCTGTGGCTTGCATGAGTTTCGAGCCTGTCTTTTCGGCTGCAACACTCGATTACTTTGGACGTCGGTTTCCAAGCGGTTCTCGAGAAGTGTCGACGCATCACCCCTATATAAGGCGTGCTTCTCCTTCAAACCTTTTCTCAATCATTTCGCTTGCAAATTCCCTTGAAGTTCTTCATTCACAGATCCTAGGAGGCCCAAGTCTCCTCGTCCGCTCCACAATCCTTAGTTCCGGCTCAGGTCTGTCTTACTATGCCTTCATCTAGTTTTGTTCCCATCCATAACGTCTTCACTGATGACGGGGCCAGTTCAAATCGGCCCCAAATTCCAGTTGACTTTCATGGAGGTACAAGTGGGTGTGGGTCACCTCGTAGATGGTAAGCTTTTGTTCGAGAACAAGTGGGGGGAGCTGATTCGGAGATGGGTGATGTCGATCTTGCCAGAAGGGAATGAGTTGCCTACCAAATTGATCGTTGAGGGCTCACCCTTCATGATGGGGCATTACATAGGTGAGGACGGGGTTGTTGGGTTTTAGTTCAGATCAGGTCGGCAATGGCTGATCGCATATCTGTTTTATTTCCCCTTTTGTCTGATTGTGTCCACTATCCCGAACAAATTTCTTACTTTGATTTAGCGGGTGATAAGATGGCCGGCATCCCAATTTGAGCGACTTGCGGCAAAGGCTGGAGCCACCCCTGGCCCTATGGTCCCACTCAGGAAGATCCTGGCCCAGGGGCAATTGAGGCCACCTCGGAGAAGTCAGGGGGATCCGTCCTCGGAGATGGCGCTGCGACTCTTGCAACGCCGTCTGCTGACCTCCGGCCTCCCATCCCCAGGAGGCTGGGAAGAGGCTGACACACCAGCCCATCTCCGGTCCCAAGAAGAAGAACAAAGCTGGGGTGAAACCTGTTGATGGCGTTGTTGATGTGGACTCAGACCCGGATGCACAGTCTATGGAGGGTGGCAGTAAGGGGAATGCCCCGTCACCTCTCCACACTGTCAAGCTCACCGTGAAATCGGGCTCAACTTCCATATTCTGCCGCACCGTGAATCCCGTGTCTTTGGGCCCGGCTGTCACACATCCTGCCAATGCTGAGGAGATCAAGGGCCTATCTCCTCCGACTGCTATCCAGCACGTATTTCATGTCATGTCTGAGGTATGTGTCCCTTCTGGACCCGCTGCTATTGTTGCCTTTAAAATTCTGCAAACCTGTCTCATATACACGAAATTTTCCTGTTTCAAGACTTTGTGCTTGCTGATTCCGGCTCCCTTCGTTTAGATGGGGGGGCACGATGATGCTCAAGGTCTTCTCGCAAATCTAAAAAAGAAGACGGTAGACTTGGAGCAGAGGCTGGCGACAGTGGAGATGGCTCGGGTGAAGGAGGTGAAGGAGGCTGGCACACTGCAGAAGAGGCTTTGCAATATAGAGGTTTCCCACCGGGTCATGGAGTGAGAAGTGAGGAGTAAAACAGAGGAGGCTGGTCCTGCTGCTGTTCAGGCTTTCTGGGAGAGTGAAGACTTCCGGGCGGAAGTGGAACAGATCATGCTCAGCAAGGGCCCAAATCGCCTAGGCTTCTTTCCCCGTAAGGGGAGGCTAGGCTGGATGAGAAGGGGACTCTGTGCTTTAAACTGGGTCAGTACGGGATGCTGAAGTCCCTGTACGAGATTCTGCAGAAGAGAAACCCTGCCTTCTCGGCTTTAGCTAGGGGAATGCCAGAATTGATAGAGAACCTTGAAGCCCCCTAGTGGAACCTGAAAACCCCCTCAGAGAGCCTTGCCTTGGCTGACCTGACTCCGGAAGTTCCTCCTCCCTCCTCCTCCTCTGGTAATTGAATTTGATCTTTTCAAACATTTAACAAACATCTTTCCCGGACCTGCGTGTCCGTTGTTTTCCACCCTGGGGGTGGCTTGTAACAGAACATCTTACATTCCTCTACCCTTTGGACCCTGATGATGAACCATCAGTCATCAGAGTCCACCAATCTTCTTCATCGCGACGTCTTTCTTCGGGCACATCTCGCGCAGTTCATTCCACTATGAAATCTGCCAAAGCATGTCCCTTGATTGATGATCTAGGTTGAAAACTTACTTGATATTAGCTGATTAATAAGGACCATTTCACCACCCGTGCAGTCTTAGCCATTTTGAATAAAGTACCCACCCCTAGGTCTGACAAGACCTTAATAGAGTGAGCTTGGAAATAATGGGCAAGTTTCTTAGCCGCTACGTATACTGCCAGTGCGATCTTCTCCAGGGCCGTATATCTGAGCTCGACGCCATAGAGAATCTTGCTTATGTAATAGACCGGCTTCTGCACAGTTCCTTCCTCGCGTACCAAAACGGAGCTGACTGCACTTTGTAACACCCCCAAGTAGAGGATGAGCGTTTCACCTGCTTCAGGTTTGTTAATAGGAGCTCTGACTGTAAATACCTTTTGAGATCTTCAATGGCAGTTTGGCATTCCTGAGTCCATTCGAACCCGTTGCTTTTTTTCAAGATCTGGAAGAATGACAAGGACTTCTCAGCCGACCCGGATAGGAATCTTTCGAGGGCTGCCAGCCTCCAGGTTAGGATTTGAACTTCCTTTACATTCCAAAGGGGTTCCATCTCCAGGATCGCCTTGACTTTCTCTAAGTTGGGCTCGATGCCTCTGTGGGTCACCATGAACCCATAAACTTCCCGCCCTGTACTGTGAAAGTGCACTTCTTAGGATTGAGTCTTAGATTCACCATCTTCATGATGCCAAACACTTCCTAGAGGTCGTCTACATGATCTCCTGCCTTCTGGCTCTTCACGATCATGTCATCCATATATGCCTCCATGTTTCTCCCAAGTACAATTCGGAAGACCTTGGCTACCATTCTGGTGTATGTGGATCTCACTAGTGGAGGGGAACTTGCCGTTCGAGAACAAATGATGGAAACTAATCCGGAGATGGACCATCATGAACCTGGCATAGGGAATTGAGTTGGCTGTTAAGCTCATTGTTGAGAGCTCTCCATTCCTGATGGGTCATTATGTAGGTGAGGACAATGTGGTCGTTCTTGAATACACTTCAGGTTGGTTATGGCTGGTCTCTTACATTGTCTATTCATATATTCTATCATTGATTTTGACTGTTATTTGTTGCCTTGTACAGAGGGTGAGAAGATGGCGTCCAGGCTGGAGAAGCTCGCTGCTAAAGCTGGTTCTGTCCCGAGCTGCCTGGCTCCGGCTAGGAGGGTACAAACTCGAGGTTCCGTCAAGGGGACTGCTTCGGAGAAGCTGATAGTATAGAATTGTGTTTGTTTATTTTTGTAATTTTAACTAGTTTTATTTGTTGTTGTTTGGGAAATTACACACTTTTGGTGGAATATTTTATTTTTCCTAGTTGTTTGTAATTTGTTTAGATTATGAATTTTCTAACTTAAACTAGGTAAAGATCATCAAAAGGATCCTGGGAAGGTCAAGGAAAGTGCAAGAGAACAAGATAAAGTGAAAATTTGGGAAAATAGTCAAATACCGATAAGATAAAGCATATACCCGATCGGGTATTGACCCTGCCACCTCCAAACACCTATAAATACACCCTTTTTCCTTCCCATTTGATTGCGAATTCACATATACCTCTAAGCTCAGTTTAGACAAGTATTTCCTTTATATTTTCTAGTATGGTTAGTCTCCAAATGAGGAGCTAAACTCTTCCATCTTGGTTTTGCTATCTTGAAGCTTATGATTTGTAAGTTGTGATTAATTTTCTTTAATCATCTTCCTTGAATATTAATTACATTGCTATTCATATTTCATATTAATATTTGAGCATTACTTAAAAGATCAACTAGTTTTGTTCCATATATTATTTATTACTAGAATCGATTGATGAATACGCTTGTTAATTGTTCGGTCCTTTCATCGTAGTAAACTAGGATTATTAATGCATGCGTCTTATGGTTAATAATCTAAGGGGAATTAAACCAATAAACCGCTTGTGTTGAGGTTATCAATCTCTATCGATTTCATCTTAAGTTTTATTGCTACTATCGGGTCAATATACTGCACATGTTCTATATTGACTTGATAGTAAGTTTATTAATGAACACGTCTCGTTATTAATTACTACCCTCGATGAATTGGAGATACTCCACGATTGAGTATTCGAGAGGAATATAGTTAAAGACATAACCGAGATCGATGAACATTTCATTAAGTGGATATAAGCAAAACCAAGTCTCCATCTCTAATTAATTGAACCATATAAGTCATTCAACTTAGTGTTTAAAAATACTTTATGTTCAAACAACAATCTTAGAACCCCCCTTTGTTACTAGTTCTATAAAAGAGAAGAATTCCTTTCCCCGCGGATACGAACCTTACTACGATATACTACGGATAGTGCAAGTATTGAATTTATTTTGAGGCACACAACGAATTTAGTGCCGTCAAAAGCCTAGTGGGACCACCCACGAAGATGGTGTTGTGACTCTTGCAAAGCTAGCTACCGACCCCCACCACCAGAGGCCGGGAAGAGGCTGACATCCCAGCCCATCTCCGTTCCCAAAGCGAAGAAAGTGATAGTTGAGGTGAAGAATCATTCATGTTCTTGTAGCACGGAGTCTGACTCTGAGGCAGAAAATGCTCTGGCACCCTTCCACACTGTTTGCGTGACCATGCACCTGAGTTTGGCCTCCCTTCTTCATGGAAGTGTTCACCCAATAACCCTGGGTCTCGCCGTCACTCCACCTGCTAATGTGGATGAGCTCGATGACCAAACCCCGAGGTCAGCTTTGAAGCGCGTTGTTCATGCCATTTATGAGGGTTTCTCTATTTCTTGGTTTGTATTCGCTTTCTGTTTTGGTAAATAGACTTGCTAGTTCATTCCTGATATGTTGATTCCACTGTCTTTGACCTTTATCCTTGCTGCCTCGAGCTCTCGTTATTTTGACGAGGAGCAGAAAGTGGCCCAAGGTCTGTCTACCGAGCATAAGAAGACTGTGGCAGACGTGGAGGCTAGGCTCGCGGTGGAGATTGTCAGGGTTGATGCTCTAAAGGAGACTAGGGTGCTGCAAAAAAACTCGATAATGCCGAAGTTGCCCACCGAGCTATTGGATAGTCAGTTATTTCAAAGTCCTGAAATCGAGGGTTAAAAGCGACTACAAACTGGTAATCAAACAGCTTAGGGGAGCATACGAAGCCAAAGAAGAACGAATGCAAAAGTACAGGGATACGTCCCTTGAACTCATCAAGAATTTTGAGCAATCGAATCTGGTATGTGTTCCACGAGCCCAAAATGGGGAAGCAGATATCATGTCAAAATTGACACAAGATGCACCCGAGCATCTCACCCGCATTGCCAGGATACAGGAGTTAAATAAACCAAGCATCGAGACCACAAAAGGGTAAGAATTGAAGTGTTGCCTATCGGGTCAACACCAAGATACTGGATTGATGATTTGGTAAAATACAAAGAGAATGGAACACTACCGAATGATGAAGAGAAAGTCAGGGTGATCAGAAGACAAGCTCCAAGCTACGTGATCCAAGACGGAAAGCTTTACAAGCGAAGTTATAATGGTGTGCTATTGAAATACCTAAGGCCGGAACAAGCCGGACAAGTGGTAAAGGAGTCACATGCTGGAATTTGCTCATCTCATCAGGGTGCGTTCACCTTAGGCAGAAAGGCCATACTGCGAGGATATTTCTGGCCAACAATCATGAAGGATTGTGCCGTTTTTCGCGCGAAGGTGCGAGGTCTGTTAGAAGTTTCAGGTAAGCCCCGGAAGACCTGCCACCCTATAAACCCAAATCAGAACAACAATTCCCTTCTCCAGATGAGGAATCAACCTTGTGAGACCTCCCTCGCAGGGCTCTGAAGGTCGGAGGTTTGTCATTGTGGCAATCAATTACTTTACTAAGTGGGTGGAGGCAACACCAATGACCACAACCACTGTTGAGCAATGCAAAAGGTTCGCGTGGAGAAATACATTTTGCAGATTCGGAGTTCGTATGCAAATCATAACCGATAATGGAAAGCAGTTTGACTCTGAACCCTTCAAGAACTTTTGTAGATAGTGGGGGGGGGGGGGGAGGCCAACAGACCATCAATTGCATACCCTTAATGTAACAAGCATGTGCAAAATGTAAACATGACAATCATAAGTGGTCTTAAAAACAAACCGGAATCCACGGGGACAACTTGGGTGGACGAGCTGAACAATTGTTGGGTCCTTGTTTCTACACTAGAAAAATATGGAAATGGAGCTCAAAATGGGTGAATGAAGCCGTCCATTGAAGAAGAAGTTTACAGAATGATAGAACACTTTAGCATAAAGGCATATTTATAGCCTTGGGAATGGGTAGGTCACAATGATTGGGCCATCATAAGGAATCCCATATTTTCCACTTTTGCACATTAACTAATTAAGGCTATTCTACCCATTATTAAATACAACAAGAGGCTTATAAATAATAACATTGATCACAACATAAAATATCTCTAACATTCTCCCCCTTTGTGATCAAATGTCCTTTGTGAGCTCTTATTCACTTCTCTGCCTCTTGTAAACTATCGCGACTGAGTTATCAAAAATGAAGAAAGGTGGATACGTCTCAAGATCAGGTCCGTATAGTATATGCTTGGTGAGATTTTCCTTAGGAACATTATTCTCGAGGGCCATCTACACATCATGAGTGGCGTGAACTCTGACTTGCCTCAACATGAATCGTCTTATTGCTTCATATCCTTCTTTGAGTACTTTATTCTTTCTGATTGACAGGTTCTTGTAGGCCATGGACATTTGATAGATATCGTCCATCTTGAGTAGAAAGAAGTCATTCTCCTGACAGGTGAACTCTGTGCCATTAGTTCTTTGTCGTCGATAGATTGAGTAGTTGATTCCATGGTGATTTCCCTGATACACGTTCAGAATGTTCCATATCGAATGAGTGCGTGTTGCTATGTTGTGCTTCAGGACCTCAAGCCGCTTTCTAATCCGGCAGATTAAAAAATTAGGTTTACAAGCTGATGAAAAAAAGAAAGTGAAGGATTTCCTTATACAAGAGCATATGATTTCTAGAAACTTTATGTTTATGGATCGTGGGTGTAAAGTAATCAAATGGAATAGACCAAAAAAAGAGTATAAGCTCAATGTCGATGCTTCTTTTTTACCCGATTCAGCGACGAGAGGTGCTATCTTAAGAAATCAGAATGGTGAGCTTGTCTGGGCTATTTCTTTCAACATCCAGGCTCAATCGAGTGATGAGACGGAATTGAAGGCGCTCACCTTTACTTCTCAGATGGCGTTGGAGAAAGGGCTTGTTGACCTTCAAGTGGAAACCGATGCTTTGAGGTCCATCTCTGTTCGTTCGAATGAATTAGGAATGCCTGCTTGGCTTCGAACATTTGCATAGAAAGCCAAGGACTCGGGTATATCTTTTGGGCATGTCTATCGCGAAGTAAACAATTCGGCCCATTACTTAGCAAACCAAATTATTTTCCCGACCCAGATTGTAACACCCCAGCCCCACAGGACCCGAGGTAGGTACTCCTACACACCCTACAGACCTCTAGTACCGTCCTCACAAACCGCCACTAGCCTTTTCCGCGCACTTTGTCCTCACTCATGCGCGCCCTGAGAAACTATCCAGGGGGTCACCCATCCCAAGACTACTCTCGTGCAAGCACGCTTAACTATGGAGTTCTTAGGTGATGAGCTCTCTTAAAAGGAGATGCATCTTGTTGGTATGAGTAGTACTATTGATCCATTTAAATTAAATCTCAAGTGTTACAATCACCCCCACTTAGAAACGCAACGTCCTCATTGCGCCCGTAAACCAATCTCAATCAAATCCCAGAATCTTTCCCCTGCTAAGTGCCTGCCCGATATCCAACGGATCAGCACACTGTCGCAGGGTTGCTCTAATACCACCTGTAAAACCCCGGCCCCGCAGGACCCGAGGTAGCTACTCATACATACACCTTACAGACCTCTAGTACTGTCCTCACAAACCGCCACTAGTCTTTTCCGCACACTACTTCCTGTAGGGTGTGTATGAGTAGCTACCTCGGGTCCTGCGGGGCCGGGGTGTTACAGGTGGTATCAGAGCAATCCTGCGACAGTGTGTTGATCCGTTGGATATCGGGCAGGCACTTAGCAGGGGAAAGATTCTGGGATTTGATTGAGATTGGTTTACGGGCGCAACGAGGACGATGCGTTCCTAAGTG